TTTCAATTACTGATATGTTATTATTATTATTTTTTTTTTTTGTATTTTAGGGAAGGGTGTACAGGGTGATCAGGGTCTCACTCCTACATCACACGTACTGATCCACCTGTTTACAGCCTCCCAAGAGCTGCAATTACAGGCAGGCGCCCCCTTGCCCAGTCTCAAAGGCCTTCTCAGTGTGCCCCAGGGGCAGGGCCCACATGGCAGGCCCGGGGATCGAACCCCTAGGCCCTGATCTTGCTTACTGGTGCTTGCATGGAAACAAAATCTATTAAATGCATGAGTGAATAGATAAATATAATTTGTGAGCTGTCTTTAAAATCTATGTCTGTTTTTTGGACATATTTACTACATGAGTGTCTTATGCCATTGTTACTTTTTATACATTTTTAACTCTGGTAGTAAAGTTGCTTTGGAACTCCTTTGAAATACCAGGAGCATTTTCTTTTACCCATGGATAAATGTTAGGAAAGTATTTATGATTTGGTTGTGAAGTCCAATCAAAGAACAAGCTAAGCCTATCATTATGGTAAAATCACAGCCATAGAAAAGTAGAACCCAAACTTAAAAGATCACAAAGAAAAGAATTCATAGCTCTTTCTAATCCCAGTCTTGTAAATTTGCCAGTACTTCTGAAAACATAGCTATTAGAAGTAGGAAAATATTTAACTAAGAAATCAACATTCCTTTGACTCATTTAGTGGTCCATTATTCATGTATCTTTTTTATATGTATTAGAGCATGATAATCCCTCAGGAAGTTCAGAGCCTGAGTAAATTAGTACTTTCCTTCACCAGAAAGGTCCCACAGAGCCCTAATTTTCAAATGCCGATGCTGAGAATAAGCGAAACTTTGTTCCATTTTTCCCCTTCTCCCTCCCATCAGAGACTAGTTAAGTTTTCAGTGAATGGTTTAAAAGAGAAATAATCTTGTATGCATCATGATTGTAACCCGTTAGGGGAGAATTTACCCACAAAAGAGGCAAAAATCATTGTTGCTTCCAGAAATTGAGAGAACCTCCATTATTATTATTATTATTTTTTCTTTAAAGCTGGGATGACAGGCACATGCCACCAGGCCCAGTCTCAATCACTGTCTCAGCACACCCCAGGGGTGGGGTGGGCACGGCAGGCCGGAGATCGAACCCCAACAGCTGCTTCTGCATAAGCAGGCACTTTAATCCACTGAGCTATTTGGCTGGCTCAGAACCTCCAATTTTAAAGTCACTAGTTTTTGACCAATTTCCTTGGCAACTTCTAAAAAAGGAGTGAATCAAGATGAATTGTAAGCAAACTGCTAGCACAGAGCCCAAGTAAGGTTAAGTCCAATGGGAAAAATGACGATAGCCAGGCAAGCAGTGTTATCAAACAACTCACAACGCCATTTCGGTGGCATGAATGTCATGCTGTCCTTATGAAATTAGGATTGTATTGCTTGAAAAAGGGAGAAATTGAGAGTCCGAGAGGCTAACTCTAAGAGATTATGAAAAACATTTGTATTCCATGCATGTGCATTGTGAACAGTCTGGTTCTTTCTATTGTACCTCTCTAGGGAAAAGAGCTTTTCTAATTTTTTAATCATTTGGGATTTCACTAGTTTGATCATAATATCCCTATAAGTCAGTGTTTGAAAACTGTGGAACATTGAACACAAGACTCAGAATCACTCATGGATGCAGCTTTAAAATGTGGAATCTTACACTACTTAGCTTATTGGGTCTACATATCTGTGAGGCTGGAAATTTGCATTTTAAAAAGCATTACAATTTTCTGGCTTTGCATTAGAAACTTTAAATAAGACCAGTGTGCATGAAATGGAGATGAGACAAAGAATAGACAGATAAGTCAGTCTCCAATTCACCTTCCCTAAAGTAGCCCAGGTATTGTGGAGCGAGCAGGTGTCTTCTCTTCAGCAAATCTGCCATGAGTAAATGGATCCAGGGCTCTAGAGCTGTCACTAGACCGGGATTGACCAGTGTCTTCCTCAAATGCTTCTCCTGGGAAGCATCACTTTGTACTTATGTTTGCCTTTGCCAGTTGAACTCAACCAATGGAATTATTATTTTGATTTGTGGTTTTACTCTTAGACTTAAGAATAACAAAGGACTTCAGATAAAGGGAAGTTAACGGCTTCTAAAGTTGTGGACAGATGGCCAGCTGAGAAGATGCTTTGCTGAGCTGTATGGGGACAAAGGTCATTTACAATCATCCCATTCTTGCTAAAGATAATTAATAGCACATTTTCTACTACCTACATAGGAATGCATTCCTAAGTAATGATGATTAGATGACTATATAATCACCAATACTGGGTAAGTATGTTTTTACCTGCATACTGTTTGGAAACAAATAGGCTTTACTGTTACCCAGGTAAGAGTAGAAACTATTCTTATAAGCTATATTTCCTTCTATTTCCCATTACATAGAGACACTAGAAAACTAAATATGTTTTTATCAGATTATAAATTCAAAGTGTATGCTCCAAATGCACTACATTCAAAATGTAGTCAATTTTAGAATGATTTTTAAAGTTCTATTTTCAGGCCTGGGAAGATAGCTTGGCAATCTAATTGCCTGCCTGGCAAAACAAAAATGGGGTTCAAACCCTGGTAATATGTGCTGGGCCAGTCCTGGAATTCCAGGCATGCTGCACTGGCCACTGAAACTGGGCATGCTTATAATCCCAGGACTCCTGTTTTCTACCCCCCAGCTGTGTAGTGAGACCCTGTTCCAAATAAATAAGTAAATAAATAATAAAAAAAATTGAAGTCCTATTTTCAGTCAATTCATATATTTATACAACATTTTTAACCCTGTGAGGTCTTAACCATTTTTGTTTGCTAACCAGTCAGTGATTGCTAAGATGTTATGATAGCTTCTTATTTAATGGAATAACATCACATAAGACTTGGTGGAAATGACAAGAGTGGGAGTCATGGAAAACAGCCAAGCAAATTGTGACATCTATGCACATATAATTAGGTCTACTTAATCTTTGGAGGTGGATTCTAGAAGAAAAAGAAGGAGAAGGAGAAGGAGGAGGAGGAGGAGGAGGAGGAGGAAGGGGAGGGGGAAGAGAAAGAAAATGAGGGGAAAGGGAGAGGGACGGGAAGGGGGAGGGGGAGAAGAAGGAGGAGGAGGAGGGGAAGGGGAAGCGGAAGGAGGAGGAGGACGAGGAGGAGGAGGACGAGGAGGATGAGGAGGAGGAGGATGAGGAGGAGGAGAAGAAGAAGAAGGAGAAGAAGAAGAAATGTAGTGTGAAATCCCATGTTCCTACTAGTAAAATATTTCAGGCTAAAGATGCCTTCTGAACTTTAATGAATTCATTTATGGATTTCATGTATGAGTGACACAAATTTCATGAGAAGTCTAACACAGTGATGCCACTTGCTATGTTTTATTTTGCTATTAGCTTGTTAAACACAACATGCAAATAATCAAAAAGAATCATACATGACTTAGAATAAATTGTAGAAACATTTTGCTATGTAGATAAGTAAATTCTTCACACTGAAAATACTGCATAGGTGCATATGGCTTCAGAAATTTTGTTTAGCGTTTTGCAAAATTACTGACTTCTGATTTTGCCACCTGATTTTCACCATCACAAATCTGACCATAATAGGACAATCTGGATCAAGGTGACACATACGTTACGACATTTGTTGGTTTCCATGCCGGGAATAAAAAGCTTTGCATATCTTTGGGCAGTAAAAATACAGAAAACAATATATTGACAAACAAAGCATAGAGTTTTATGTCTGTTAGTGTGTGTGTTCTTTTGATGAAATAGGCCCGCTTTTCATCTTTTAAAATAAAAGTAGGAAATGTTTACAAAACATTTTCCTCCAGAATTTAAAATTAATGGAATTAAAAAACAACAACAAAAATGGATGCCATGAAAACCTTACATTCAAAAAAAAAATGAAGTATCACTCTAAGATATACCTTAATATAATTGGAATGAGTAGATACTAATTAACAGTGATTTCATTTGCTACGCGTAGACACTCATACATGTCAGGTGGCAGGCTGCTCTGTGTAAGGGGGTTGCCGTCCAAGCGCAAGTGCTTGATCTTGGAGTAGGACAATGGTCCCAGGATCTTACAGAAGCTCTTCACCTCAAACTCTGCAAAATAAAGAATACAAACTTCATCATTTTTAAGAAAGTAGCAGGAAACAATTTTTTAAATTTCCTCAAGATGGGGTTCAGCAAGACAGCTCAGCAGACTAAGCACCTGCTTAGGCAAGCTCAAGGACTGTGGTTCGATCCCTGGCACCACAGGCTGTACCAGCCCTGACTCTAGGGCATGTTGAGCTGGCCACTGAGTCTGGGTGTTGTGGCTCATGCCTGTAATCCCAGTGCTGGGGAGGCTGAAAACAGGAAGATCACTATGAGTTTGAGCTGTGTAGTGAGATCCTGCAACAACCAAATACATTAAGAAAAAAAATTCCTCAAGTCTGTTATAATATCAAATAGGGCTTCTTCTCACTTGGAGAGGTCATTTATACAATTTAACTTTCAATTCAGATATAGCATATATTTTTGTCTTATATGTCCTTGAATTAAGAATGGATAAAAGCATATTTCATGTGACATGGCCCAGAAATATTCAGTAAGCAGTAACTAGCATAGAACAGAAAATTACATGAATTTTTCAAGGAACAGAATTTAGGAGATTCTAGAAAGTCACTTAGGGCCTTGGAAGAAAGCTCGGTGATCTAAGCACCTTCCTGGCAAGCTCAAAGGCCTGGGTTCAATCCCCAGTTACAGCATGCTGGCCCTTGAACACCAGGCATGCTGTGCTGGCCACTGAAACCAGGCATGGAGGCACATGCCTGTAATCCCAGCGCTGGAGAGGCTGGGACAGGAGGATCACTATGAGTCCAAGCTGCGTAGCAAGATCCTGTACTGAATAAATAAATAAATAATTTAAAAATTATTTAGAAAGGCATTTGATAACTACGTATTATTACCTAAGAACTCTTTTTCAAATATTTAATCTACCTGATTGATCTTTTCATGTGAAAAATCCTCACTACCATGAGAGTCCTTGGGATTTTGTCCTGAAATAAAAGAACTTATTGGTCTCTAAAGAATTTTCTTTCTAATCATATATCAAGACAATAAATCAAAATGCCAAGACAGGAATCCAATTATGGAATATCCATCTTCTGAGCCAGAGTTTTTCAGAGGATGAAGATTTACCACAAATGGAAATATGTTTTAGTTTCAAGAATAACTAACACTGAATTGTATGAATATAGATGCACACAGAAAAACTTATGAATCATCAGGTCTATTTCAGCACAAGCTTAGTGAATCCTTTGGTTTGTCATTGTCTTTAATGTTTCAAACGCTAGTTAACAATGGCTTCAGTGGAACCTCAGATGCTTGCTTCAACTCATCAATCTAATTCTAGACTCTCTCTGGTACATCGGCCTGTTGAACAATGGACCAACTTAAGCTAAGAAGGTGACCCCCAGTCTATCAGCATTCTGCTTCTGCTTCTCCTCAACTGAGTGGCCTTTCAGTACTTAGCTAGTCTTCCTTTCTGATGCATATCCATATCTCAGGATTTTGTGTAATATTAATATAGGTACAGCATGTCAAATAATGCTAGGATATAGGATATCCAAAATAATATGGCTGTCTTTATGATTTTTCTCTTTTCCAAATTCGTATTAGGAAAATCTGCTAATAGGCCAATGTTTATAGTTGCAGGATTCAAAATCTAAAATTGTTTTTGGCTATGCAGTTGGTCCTCTGCACCTGTAGGTTCCACATTATAGATTCAACAAACCACAGATCCAAAATATTTGGAAAGAATGTCTCAGTTGTAAAAACGTAGAGTTTTTAATTTTATTTTAATTTTTTTCTGTATTTTAGGGCAGGGTCTACAGGGTTTTCAGAGTCTCACTACTAGATCTGACTCAGTGATTCTCCTGTTCACAGCCTCCCAAGCCCTAGGATTACAGGTGCGCTCCACCATGCCCAGTCTCATTCATCATCTCAGTGGTCCCTCACCTGCTTGCAGGCACTTTAATCTGCTGAGCTATTTGGCCATCCCACATAGAGTTTTTAAAAGGTGATTATTTTCTAAATGATTTAACAGCTATTAAGAAAGCCTTTACACTGGGCCAAATATTATAAATAGTCCAGATGTAATCTAAAGTTCTAGATAAGAATGTGTATAAAGATCCTATGCCATGTATGTGCCATTTTATACAAAGGATTTGACATCTATGATTTGGGTGTCCATAGACTGCTGTGGAACTAATCATACACATGTGGAGTGGTACTGAAGAATGCCTACATACTCTCTTATTTTAAACACTAAACATGATACTACACAGTAAAGATGAAGGACTTGGTTTACATGAAGAGAATGTGCACAATCAGTGTGCATTATCAGCAGCAGCACTTAACTTACACTGAAGAAATGAGCACCAGATAAACCAACAGGCGCACATGGCTCAGTGTCAGTGAGAAGTGAAGAAGCAAGGTGGTCCTTTGCAAGCGACCACGATGAGCCAAGCACGTGGCTTCTCAGCAGGCTGGCACTGAGAAGCTGCCAGTGTGTCTCCCGTCAGCACCATTCCCATGCCCCACCCTGGCCCCCCACCCTTCACTTCTAGTCCGTGCCAACCCAATGTGTCTGCGTCTGCATTATTCCTCTGACTCATTCCAACGACAGCAGTGGCCTTGCTTCTGTGACTCACTGGCACCCCCAGACCACATGGGTCTCCACAGTTTTCAACCGCCCTCAATCCTTGGGTCACATTGGCAGCATAGAACATGCCTCCTCCCAACCACAAAGTTTTTAAATGTTGGATCATGTATTGCCACGTACTGAATTTTGCACCAGAACCAACGACAGGAGTTTATGTTAGCTTGATTAGGATTCATATGATAATCAAACAGTGCTAAATTTTGTATTGGCTATTTTTAAGATGCAACAAAGAACATGGTGCTTGATGCATTAATAATGATCTCCTCCGAGAGAATAGCAGTGAAAGAAAGAGGAATTGACAGACAGCAACACAAATGAGTGCCATGCAAATCTTACATCCAAAGTTAACTAGGAAGTATCACTTCAAGATATACCTTGATATAATTGGATGAGCAGATAGCAATTAACAGTGATTTCATTTGCTGCATGTACACATTTATACATATCAGGTCGCAGACTGCTCTGTGTTAGGAACTGCACAAAAGTAGTTGCAGAATCACAACACAGTCCTAAGGTACTCTGTGATTTTTTTTTAAAAACCACTATCTTTATTCATCAGATAAAGATGCTCAATTGCAATAGCTTATGTTTCAGGTACAAATATTTTATGTGTGAATCAGTAATCCCTACCTTATTTTCATTTTTAAAAAATGTTGGGGATTCACAACATTTTTCTTCTATCAAACTGTTAAAGAATAAGGTGAATAGTGAACTTTAGTCTCTCACTTGAATCTGTACTACTTGTCTCAGATCAGAAGAGTATATAAATGACCCAAGCAGAGCAAACCAAACTCTATTCAGAAGACACATGAAAAAAACAAATATGGAAACAAGAGAAGGGAAGGACAAACTGGAAATATAGAGTTAAAGGAAAGGTTTTTTAAAAGAAGCAAGGCCCTGTATTATGACTTTGAAAAGAAAAAACTACCCTAAACCTTCATCCTATGCTTGCCCTCCTTAACTTTCTCAGAGTTCTCATCACAGCACTGTTAAGACCACACACACCACCACAGACATAATGGAAGTGGATAATAGTCCTATTAGCAGAGTGGCATGTTCAGACTCCAGAAAAGAGGACAGCGCAGACCATGATAAACTATGTCTCTGGAGATAAGTGGAGGGGCTTGAAATACCTGCGGCTTTACCTCTTCTAAGCTTTCTTGCTCCCTCAGCCAGGAAGTAACTGTAGGATGCAGATCTTAGTGGTAAATGAGGTATCCAATGACAAATAAATGTCAATATATAATTCAGTGACATTATTCAACTTAAGAAAGATGAAAATATTTGATATTAAATTGAGTGATCTTAAGAGTTCTTGATCTGGCCCTCTCAAAGGAAAGCAAGACAGAAGTAGTTATATAAAGCTAGCGTACTTCTATGTTTATGTAACAGGATTCTTTGTCAGAATTTAGTTCATTTTCACTGAGTCAAATACAATATTCATGTCACACAATGTAGACACTTAAAATAGGAACACACATCAATCAAATACAAGCACAACCTTCTACTTACTTTCAAGTTCATTGACCTGCAAGTAATAGTTTTCAAGGTTTTCACTAACAGTTGGTATACTTTTCAGTTTATTATAGGAGAGGTCCAGCTCAAGCAGAGATGATATATTAAACGTATTTCCGGGTACCCCTCCATCAGCTAGTTCATTGTGAGATAAACGCAGGTATTGCAGTGCACCAAAACGCTTGAAATACTCATCAGGGATGTTTTTAATCTGATTATTGTCTAGGTAGAGAGTTAGAAGAGATGCAGGGAGACCAGATGGAAGTTTTGACATCTGGTTAAAACTCAAGTCCAGGTATTCAAGGGACTTAAGACCTCTTAAAGCAGCTGAAATGGTTTCCTCCTTCAGCTGATTGTGTTGAAGGTGGATGAAAGTAAGGTTCACCAGCCCTTCAAAGGATCCCAGCTTTGAAATTTTGTTGTTAGTGAGCTGAAGATCCTCCAGAGATTTGGGCAGTGGGCTCACAGTCTCTGTCAGGTTGTTGTAGTTTATGTGCAGCTTCTTCAGCTGTTTCAGTTTGGCGAAAACTTTCCCCTTTATCTTGGAGTTTTCTAGAAGATTGTGATCTAGAATAAGCCACTGAAGATCGGTCACGTTCTCAAAGGCCTTTTCATCAAGGTGGTCAATCTGGTTATTCCGGAGGTAGAGGTACTTGATGCCAGGAGGTACCATGGGCACACTTTTTAGCTTTAGCTCATCGCAGTACATGGCGGTTGGGTAGTTGCCTGGGCATTCGCATTCTGGTGCGCAGTTGGGTGAGGAAGAACGCAAAAAGGAAGGGTAGTAATCATAATCGTAGTACTGCCCACTGACGCCACTGGTCAATGCCAAGAGGAAAGTAACCGTGCCTACGTTCATTTTCAACAAATGCTCCGAATCCTAAATAAAATGGAAATGCAAATTATTGTACCAGTATACTTTCTGGAAAATGAAAATGAATTTGCAGTATTAAAGTCTATCATGCATTTGGTTATATTATAGGTCTTCTGGTGCATCAGAGAAGAATGCCTTCACTGTCCTTTAATTTTTTTTTTTTCATCCAAGAACAAGGATAGAGATCTATGGATACAGTTTTGGTGTGGACCTCAGGTCTAAGGTCAGACGGCATACACCTGCGCCCCCTCCTGGGCAAGCCAAACATAACTGGTCTCACTCAGTCTCTTCGGATCCTCCTTTAGCTAAATCCTTCCTGGGAAAGCAGAGCCTTCTGGATGGTATCCACTGATCCCCATGTTAGAATACTGCTGTAAAACATATCTCAAAAGCAGAAGAGATGCAAATTAAAGGGCATTTGTAAACTGAGCACTGTGCCCTACAATTTGACATCTTTGAAATGTCTCTTTCAAAAGTCCTTCCTGGGAAAATGGGCAGTCAGTGGTTTACCCTGGAGGAAAGCTATCTTGATAATATACAGAGTGGAAGCAGAGAGGGGAGTCCATTCCTTTAAAAACATCTGGTTATTGTCTCTGAGGTACTGAGGAAGGGGAAAAGAATTCCCAGTGTCAGTGTGTATTTATGTTGTTTCAAGTTTTGTATAACATTCCACACTTTTAAACACATCGCAAAATGTTGTTCTGAAACTGACATGTAGTAAATTAATTTAGTAAAGCAAATATTTATTAACAGGAGAAAGGTCAGTTAGTCTCAGAAAATGTAAATATACTAAGGTAGAGGAAAGCATTTCCATAATTTTAAATAGAGTTTTCTAAGACACTATTTTTTGTGTGTTAATATTTAAGGTGGCATGGTTTATGTATTTGGATTTTAGAGACCTCACAGAATGAAATGGGAGGAGGAGGAAAGTTTGTTGCTCATATGAGCCTTAGGAACTATGTAGGAAAGTATGCCGCTGAGAGCATAAACTTTAAATAATTTCCAACCATTATGTTTTCAGTTAAATTCTCTAAGGCTCACTAAAAAATCTTTCAACTGGGTAGAAGTACAAGTTTAGCAATTCAAATAAAGGGAAATTAGAATGCATAGACGAAATTTTTATAGAGTGAAGACATAACTGAGAATTTGGTAGCTCTGGAAGAGAAATAATTAATATGAAGTGGATCTATATTTCATTTGATGACACAGAATATTATACTTTCCTATGAGAAGCTTAAGACTGGTTTCTGAACCAAGGAATTTAAAATATATAGGATTTGGGAGAATCAGTAATTTTAAATAGATTTTTCCTTTTTTAACTTAGGATTTTAAGGAACTTAACTTTAGCAGATGAAACTCTCCAAGAAAGATTTTAGAAACACTTCAATTGCAAACATAAGACATAGGATCTTGGTACATTATTCCCTAGTAGTATAGTGGATGCATTTAATTCATTTGGCAGTTCTTAGGCACAACTCTTGTGTCTTACTAAAATAACATGATGATTTATTCCCAGGATTCTTTAGAAACTAAAGTATGTTAGTACTGTAAGAATTTTCTCTGATCCATTAATATATGTATACTTCATTTCAAATTAAGTGATACAAAACAGTCATGGTAACTAAAATCTTAGCATTGAATAGTGACAAAAAGGGTTTCTGTAGTGTTTGGCAGTGTAAACCTAGGGCTCTGAATTCAAAGAGAGTTTGTAATCTTATAATGCCTCCACTGTGGGGCAGAGGCATACTGTACTTTTCTCCACCTATTCAAATACCTGAGGCTATAGAGGAAATGCTTTTCTTTTTCCAAAATAAATGATTTCCTAGAATTTCTTGTAAAGCTGTTTTCTTGAAAATATACAAAACCCTCAAATCTTTAAGATCAATGGAATAAGAACAAGCAATTCATAAGCATTTTAGTCCTTCAACACCCATTTTACATCATAGAATATTTATGGCAACCGATTTTAAAAATATATTCATTGCAAAATATTTTGAAAACTGAGTGAAGCGAGCTTTTTTTGCAGAACTATAGGCTTGAGCCATGGTATCACATATAACTAATGAGCATAGATAATAAACATTTTAATTTCCATACTTTTCCACTGTCTCATTTAATTTTTCAGTGTGTAGTTGATCTATTTTCCTATTCTAACCTTGAATCATCTTGTAACTTCCCTTGCCAACCAATACAGAATACACTCTATAAAATTTATCTGAAGCACATAAATCATGGTAAATACATTATCCAATATGTGAGAGCAAATGCTGCAGTCTACAAATGTGCTATTGAATAGCAGTTGGCAAAGTTATTCTGGAACTTTCCCTGTTCCTGTTACAATAAAAACTGTCCCACAATGTCAGCATCCCCTAGGCTACAGTTAAAATAGCACTTACCTTACTGTCTTGACACTGCTTTTGTTAATTCTTAAAGCAGATGCACTGTGGACAAGAATCCACCAATATATGCTGTGAACTCTGTCAGGACGGGACTGACTGCCAGAATCTTAGTGATACAAGAGCTGAGGAGGGTGGGGGTGGGGGGAGCAGCGCAGTCACGCCAGGCTCTGAATGGAGTTATGTCACTGTGGCGCTCTTGTGGTGTGGCATGTGAATATTCTGCTCCCTAACGAAGTGCAGGTGGGCATGGTGAGCAGACACAGCCTCCCTCACTCCCTATGGAATGGAGAAAGTTCTGTGCTTAAACGAGCTCAAATACCATAGCTTCTAACCAAGAATTGAAGGCTGCTCTGCATGAGGCAATTCACAGTGGAAATGTTTCTCTTGCGAATGTCTCATGTGGCTGTGGCAACAATTAAGTGGGACTTGTTCAGCCAACTATTACGTTCATCTAAGGCTCTCATAAATCATGAGTAGAGCAAACAATGTCAGGGAAATGCAAATGAGAAAGCTCAGAGGAATTGAACCTTTTATGGCTATCACTTTTGGAATCTATGTTGATTAAGCTGGACTTACTTTTATTTACTTTTGCCTTGAAGTTGACTTAGATTCCAAAGCTTGAAAAATGTTGATATGAATGATAAATATTAACATTTCATTGAACTTCTTATGCTACAGGAACTCTTTTCATGTTATTCAAATCTGGAACCAATCAGCAATGCCTTGCCTGTTTCTTATTTTGTGGACTGCCTTTAGGAATGCACCCAAAACCTTACTTGCAGATAGCATTTTATAGTTCAATGCCAAAAAATTTTAAAAGAACAGAAAAAACATATACTAAAAATATTGGAAAACAATAATCTTTCATCCTGTGACTGCATGGTAATGTTCATTCTTAAGATAAAATTTATTTCAAAGTCAAGATCCCCAAAAGCCTGATCTATAAATCTTTTGTTGTCAGTACCTGATGTATATTTTCAGCAAATTGTCATATTGCAAGACATTTTTTTCCTTTTAAGGTTAGTATGTTACTTTTAGCAAGAGGCTTGTGGAAATCTTGTTTCCATCTCTATGACTACTACAGATGTGGCCTTAGAAGAAAATATTAGGGTGAATACCTTATTTTGGTAATAGAACTGTTGGAAAATAAAGTTTATACTCTGAAAGTAACTCATAGAATGGCAAGATAACCCATAACTTGGTAATTGATTATTACTTTAAGAAAAATATTTAAAGAGGGGCCGGGGAGA